CATTAGGGAGGATTGGGGGTGGGAGGGACGAGGGAGCTGATACCAAGGGCTCAAATAGAAAATGTTTTGAGGATGATGGTGACAACAAATGTACAAATGTGCTTGACACATGGATATATGTATGGATTGTAAGAGCTGTAGGAGCCCCCAGTAAAATTAGTTTTTTAAAAAATTCATGAACTTTTATTGGCCTTTCTTTAAACTTTGCCTGTATTCATAATGTACATTTTTTTGTTTTGTTTCCAGCCCTGAGTAAGACAATAAGACCTGAATGAAAACTTATAAACTCTTTGGCCCAGAGAAAGTCTTAATATCTCCTCTTATCCTCAGTTTCCTCATCTCTGAAATGAGTAGACTTATCTGTTGACAAACCTGTGAGGGGAAAATGGGGGCAGTGTGTATGAGTAGCACTTTGTGACTAAAGGTGCTGCCCAGGAAGATACTCATTGTAGCAGTGACCATGAAATTGTGTGCACCCAGGACCAGGCAGGTAGAGAACAAACAAGGCATTTCTTAAGAGTATTAACAATGAAGTGTCATTAAAAAAAAGGTATTCTTTATTGTGCTACAAGTGTGGCAGGTTGTGGCTTCAGGTTTGTGTTGTATGCTGACTCTGTTTTTAATAATAACAAAGCAAACTTGTCCCTCTCTCAGCGAATGCATCTTCAGGAAGAGGACGGAAATGAACGATGATCCAACTTGAGGATAAGGCTGGGTGTTCTTAGTGTCCGTGTTTTAGCTCGGTGAAGCCAGTGTACACAATGGCTTCAGCAGGCGTAGGCTCCACACAGCTTGCTGTGTTCAAACTGCTGATTTCATACCAAACAGTACTTAGTCTCAAGGCTGGCAGACACTTTTTTCTTTCACCTCCACTATTTATTGTTAATTAAAACAAACATCACCATTGCCATGCAAAAAAGATTATAAAGCTGCTGTATTTGAGAATGTGTGGCTGGCTGTAAGCACGTCTGTGGTAACAGGGGACATGGACTCTACTTTGGCATCTGCCGCTGATCCTGATGGTAGACCTAGACCTGCAGTCACTGCCTGCTGAGATGGCCCCCTCTGCAGTCTCCCTCAAAAATGCCAGGATGGTGTCGGTGGTTTAGTATCTTTGAGGCTGGCACTTAAGACACAAATACACACATGCCTAAACAATGTCCTTTTAAGAGGTTTACGCTTAAAATACAAGGCTGATAGGGAATAAAACCTAGCTTGTAGTCTAATATTCCAGAGTCCTCTTTAGCTATGAAAGGCAATTAATAAAGAGCGTGCATTCACAATTCAAGTATGATTTATTCATAGAAAAGAACTACATATTGTGAACATATTAAAAGGTGGTTTCCAGCCCAAGTATAAGATAGATTATTGCAGTAGGTTTAAACACTAGAATTATGGCTAGAGTGTAGCTAACCATAGCAGATAGATGCCAGTTTCTTGAGCTGCTTTAAGAATTAAAAGTATTCTAAACATATTTCTCCCTCTTTCAGGTTGGTACACTCCTCCAAAGGAAGATGGCTAAGTGTGTCGACTGTCAGATGTGTGGACCAATGTTGCTTTAAAGAAACTCTTCCCAACATGCAGACACAAGCTTTGCGTGCCCGTATAACAGCAGTACCGAAGACGTTAGCTAATAGATATTTTAGTGGATAATCTGCCAACCGACATCCAGTACAAGTCACCGCCTTTTCATTTTGCTCATTTTAGGTTTCTTGGACTGAGCAGTGGGGCCTTTACTGTGCTTTTCCAGATAAAGCACAGACGGGCCACTTGTATCATCTCTCTTTCTTGAAAAGCGAAACCTTGGAAGCAGGCAAGTCAGCATCAGGTTACTTAAAGTTTGGGGTAATTTTCCTGTATTGAGCCAATGGATTATGATGACTTGCAAAATACATTGTTTCATTTCAAGCCAATAAAAGTTTAATTGCTGTTTAATATGATTTAGAACATGAAAGGTCTTCTAAATCACAGTAGCTTTGGGGGGGGTCTAAAACCACTTTATGATATTGCCAAATGAGTAGGAAATCTACTCATTATTAAATATTTTTATGGCTGTGTGAAGATATGAATTGTTTCCAGATAAAGTCATTGGATTGCACATTTTAGGTCAAGCAAAACCACACAGTGCCAATGAAGGGTTGTTAAGTACAGTGTCCACAGGGGCACCCAGTCTTGCTGGGTCGAATCTGCTTCTTGCTGATTCAGTATTTCTTATGAGAAGAGCCATAGTATAGAGCTTGAAGTTATGGTTTCAGTTTATTAAGGGGACATCAAAATCATTTGTAAGTTAATAAACTTAAATGATTGGCACTAAGACAGATTCCTCAACCAAAAACTGCAGTTCAGTACGAAACGCCATTATCTCACTTGGGAACTCTTAAAACTCATTGCCACGCTTACAACAGTGGCTTTTTCATTGAAGACAAACAAGACCTCTGCAGCTGTTAATTCTTTTCTAGAATCTTTCCATTTTATTGCCTTACCTAAATCAGGCCTGGTTGGTTGGTAATATTACACCCAAGTTTGATTTAAAAGTCAATTCTAGATATTAAGCACTTTGAAAATAAAACCCAGAAGCACATTTTCCTGCACAAACTAATTACCATAATTCAGAAGTGCTTCTTCTGAATTTACTCAAAGATTCAGCTTTCAACTCTGAACCACAGCAGAGAGAATTACTTGTTTTTTCATTTCTTCTAATCCTATTTTGGGGAGAGGACAATAAGGCTCTTCTGACTTTCTAGTTCACTTGGTTACATTGGTCTAGAGTTCTGATAGCCACTTGCTCAGGTACAAAGTGACACGGCAGAACTCTTTAAAGCATTAAAGTTCCTTAAACCCAAGGCTAAATCTTGAATACATTATTGAATTCTTACATATCCTGGTGGCCGGCAGATTGACAGCTGCACATTTGGCATGCTTTGGGGTTTTTTGGTTTGTTTTTGTTTTTTATTTTTCATTGCAGATTTATTTGGCAATGTACAGTAAATTTTGTAAACTTGCATCAAGTTTATGAATAAAGAACTGTTTAAAAAATGATGCTGTCATTTTTCCCTAGTAGACATACAGTTTTATTCAAGTGTCTTGTGAGTTTGTGCAATTGAAGCATTCGGGTTTCTTAAGGTAGGATGGGGTGACAGAGGCTGGAGAGGGGGAGCAAACTGATCTGAGAGTAGCTAAGGAATCCAGCTTACGTGGACTTGGTAATATGCAGCTTTTCCCTTCTCCTGCACCCATTCTGTAATTTACCCAGCAGGGGGCAGTCGCAAGTAACCCTGTCAACAATCACAACGAAATCCTACCACTGTCTCCCCCCACCTTTTCTTACCAGTAGCCAGGGATGAGAGTGACAAAGGCTGTTTGTGGCTTCAAACCACTGACCTTACAGCGAACAGCCGACCTCCTACCCACTGCACAGCATTAGCCACTATGAAGCTGCAAACCAAATCCTGATGAGATAACTGATAAACAAAAATGGACAGCAGGTTCCTGTGGGGTTAGGGAGAAAGGAACCCTTACTCATGACTGGTGGGAATGTAGAACTGATAAATTTGGCAGTTCTTCAAAAACCTAGCCAATCCCAATCCTAAGTGTGCGTGCCCAGAAGGGAAGGCAGGAACACAAATCTGCACACTGGTGTTTATTGCAGCCCTTCTCACGCTCCCAAAGGTAAACACAACCAAAATGTACTTATCCAGACTCTGGAATATTAGGCAGCCATAAAGAGAAATACAACTCGAATGCACGCCACGACATGGATGATCCTGGAAGACATGCTGAGCGAAATAAATCTGTCCCAAAAGGATAAGTACTGTGTGAAACAAGCAAGTACAGAGAGACCAGAGGAGGAGGGAAGTAGGAAGGGTAGGAGTTTGTGTTGTTGGGGGCAGGAGCCCAGAGTTTGTTCATTGTGGCGGGGTGTCTTTGAACGGGAGAGTGACTTTGGTGCCATACATGGAAAACATAATCAATGTAATTTAACTGTAAATCTGGAAGTTGCATCGGTGGAAGTTTGGGTGTGTATATTTTCGCTACAGTTTCAATGTCCAGAGTAAGGCTCGGGGTGTGGTACATCTATCGAGGCTCTGCTCGACTGCTTTGAGACTTGCTTTTTTCTCCCATACTTATTTCATTTTTGGATTAAACGACAAAGTTCAGTATACTCACTTTACTAAGTCCAGAGGTGGACAGAAGTCCTCTCATGTCTCAGGCAGGTATGGAAATCTTCAAGTATACTGCTCCTCACTTGGCTAGAGCTCTGGGACCTGTGTTCACACCTGAACTGGCTGGTGATGCAACTAAGCATGATTAGTTTGGTTCAGTGGTTCCTACAGTGTGATCCCAGGCACTGTGAGACCATTTCAGGAGGTGTGCAAAGCCAAAGTGATTTGCCTAATACTAAATCATTAATTGCCAGTTTTACTCTCACCCTCTCCCAAATGTCAAGGTTTTCCAGACACTCCCGGACATGTGGTAAGGAGCTCTGGGGAGTTGCACATGGGTAAGCCCTAGGCTATCAGCCCAAAGATGGCAATTCAAACCCACCTGGAATCATTGTAGACAACCAGACTATGGAGTTCTATCTACTCTTACTTAACGCACGGAGTCAGCGTTGACTGCCCGACAGCTAACAACATGATGCGATAACACTAAGGACCGAAATCAGATGCCAGTGAGAATCCAGCTGCCCTCGCGTACCCAGATTTGATTAGAAAAATGTAAATCGATACCCCACTGTTTGCCCATTTGTGGATGGCAGGGGGGTGAAGTTATTTTTCATAGAAGTTATTTTGTTCATGTGTAATGGATTTACTAGTTTTAAGTTGTATTCGATCTTAAAATGCTGAGTACCTGGTTTGCAGAGGGCTATGTACAACAGGGACAGTCCAAAATACATTTGAGGGTCCGCGCATAGATTAAGCCTCCACGCAGTTCCTTCCAATGTAGATAATCCTGCCTTCAGGCAGACTGCACGGGGAAACTCAGTCCCTCCACCCTCTCCAGCCATCTCTGGAGGGGCAGTCCCTTAGGGGCTTGACTGGCGAAGTCCTAGATGGGGCTCACTGCACGGGGACAGCCCCACCCTTAGAGACCCTGTGCACATGGCCCTGCCCCGTCCTCACAATTGTTCTGTGCAGAGCCCCGCCCATTGTCTTAGCGTCAGTCTCTCATTCACGGCCTTCCTCTTTTTCATTGCGCCTCAACTCTGCCAAGCACGATGTCCTCTAGGGAATGGCTTCTCCTGGCATGTCCAAAGTATGGGGAGAGTGCACAGAGGTGGTCAAGTGGTCATGAGTCATGCCCTATCAGTTATTCCCTGGCTGCCCAGGATCAATCTCACAAACTCCTTTATCGTACATGTACATATCCCGCTTCTGTGATGTCTTTGTCGGGTAGGCAGACAGGGACAGGGGGTTGTACCTCCCATGCCTGCACAGGGCCCCCTACAGCAGGTGGTTAGGTGGAAAAATCAGGCAAGCATTAGCCACCTATGAAGACTTTTAACTGGGCATGCTCCAATTCAGTGTGTGTGTCCCGCGCCCCCCGCCACACACCTTTCCCAGCCAGGTGGGCATTATACCTGGGCGGCCCAAACTAATTTAGCAAGTGGGATCAACCAATGCCACGCCTCCCCAGCCAGAGGTTTGAAATACCCTGGCAGTGGGAACGCTGGTCGCTCTAACCCACGCTCCCACTCAGTGGCAGGTCCGAGGAGGATTCTGTCCAATCTTTTACCCTGCTCCTGCGCGCACTCAGCCATGCTGTGGTCTCTCTGACCTCAGTTCACCACGCGTGGGCACGCAGTCCCACAAAGTTGCCAGTATTCAGTTGTGAGCCCCAGCGTGGCTTATGCACGATTTGGCACCCTTCCCTGAAATAGGGTGCACTCTTTTGAGACTAAAACCTGAAACGTCTCCCGCGCTTTTTTTAAAACCCACTTGGATTACAAACCAGGCTTTGACGTGAATTCTTTCTCGTCTAAAGCCAAGAAGTGAGGTCTTACCCACCCGAGAAACCTAACATGGATCTGCCACAAATCATGAATTTGTGAGAGCTTCCGGTGTTCCATGTTCTAACTGAATCTTTGATGCCATTATTACTCCCTGCTACAAGGCCTTTCCTGCTAATGGCCTTCCTCGCCTGGATGATGTGTGTCTGTCTATTTTCTTTGCCCTTTTTTTAAAAAACATTTTATTAGGGGCTCATACAACTGTTATCGCAATCCATACACACATCAATTATGTAAAGCGCATTTGTACATCATTCTCAAAACATTTTCTCT